CGCGTTACACGATCCGTGCAATCCACGCGGAGATAGTGTTTGCACACTTACTGTCGGGCTGCATGCCCATGAACGTACTTCGACCTCGTCAATACACGCGTACACGATCGATGCGTGGAGATTCTCGAAAGCAATCGATTCAACTTTTCAACTTTTCAAAGAGGAGCCGAAGCAGAGGCTTCTGGAGATTTCGCGAGAGTCTCTCTCCTCGGGAGAAATCTCGCAAAGCAAAATTCGGCGAAGCAGGCCGAACACGTCACTCGCTAGCGGTTCCGACAGCTCCGACCGATCGTGTACGCCACCCCCCCCCCCCTCCCCACAACTCATTTCAAAACTGAAATCAAAATTTTTTGGTCCGAGGCTAAGATCGAAGCATCTACGAAAACCACTGCCAGAATACTTTCTAAATGCTTCGCGTTTAACCAAAGACGCGAGAGGCTCATTTTTCTACGCGCATTGTCGTTATATAGAGAGTATATACAAATAGGTACTTATGTATAATTCTACCGCTTGTAGGTGAATACTTAGTGTAGCCTAGGATAGCGCGGTCAAGGGTAGTGGAGTGTGAAGGCGAGAGGAGGCGCGTGCACCACGTGCATGCATTCGTGGACGAGCGACATACGTTTGCGTTTGCGTTTGCGTTTGCGTTGTGAGAAGCGAAGGCGAGAGAGCGGCGTTCCTTTCCGAGGAAACGACAAACGAATCAAATTAGCAGCGTGGTAGCGTGATACTGTCTAGGAGCGAGGAGATGGCCGTGACCAGAGGAAGGAATCGACGTACCAGAGGCAAGTGCGTCACTGCCAAACGCATGAGAAGCGAAGCGAAGCGAAATATCCTCGCAACCGGGTCGACGCCGGCCGATCCAGAGGGAAAGAAAGATTTTCAGATTTTCAGATTTTCAGATTTTCAGATTTTCTTTCGATGTGCCACAAAACAGCAGAGCTGGTAGCGCTGACTTGAATCACTTGAAATTACTAATCAACATCACTCGACACATCGATACGACGTCAGAATTCTAATAGCAATACGATTTCACGGTTTACTTACTTACTAAATTAGAAATCCGTATCGTTGCATCGCTATGAAAAACATATAGACGTACCTACTTACTTACTTACTTACTTACTTACTTACGATTACTTACGATTACTTACGACTAAAAAATTCTAACGGTAAATGTCCCAAGGAAAGTATATACATATATACATACATATATATCATACGTGTACGACGTGTACCGCGAAATCTCTATCGAGCTGCAGATTCGCATTATTCGTATCGATATCTCGGGACACGAGGGAATTAGCAACGGTAGAGTTGCAAGTGGCAACGAAAGTCGTGTTGCGCGAAAGTCTCTCAAGAGAGACATAGCCGATCGTACGGGTGTGATCAACGTACATCAATGGTAACACCATATGATCCACGAGAGAATCCACAATCTCTCAAATGATAGAAATACAAAGTTCTAAATGCATCGATGTGCAACAGGGAACGTTGGCGATGAATCGCTAGCACAAGTACGCACAGAACATCAATGCGATGAAAAGAAAAAAAGAAAAGAAAAGAAAAGAAAAGAAAAGAAAGATCTCACTTTTCCGACGCACATTTGTACAAATGATGTTTGATTTTACGTTGAACGTAAGAAAAAAAAAAAATTGCCAGACGCCTCGATATACATATAATATATATATATATATATATATATATATATATATATATATATATATAGCTGTACACCTTAATATTTCAGGCGCGACGGATAATATTAGATTTTATATATATATATATATATATATATATATATATATATATATATATATAATATATATATATATATATATATATATATATATATATATATATATATATATTTGGTGATACTTATGCACAAAGAAGTGGTGGCAATTGTTAACTTCGTGAAGCGTATTAGACGCCGTAGCGCAGAAAACACGGCGCATCTCTGTCACCCAGCCGTGAAGCAAACCAACTCGAGCACTTCTTCCCGGGTTCTTCCCATTCTACCACATTTCTTTTCTTTTCTCGACCTCTTGCGCGTCCGAGACCTCTTCGTGTCTAGGCATTCGCATTTATACACGTACACGTCCGATCCAAGGCCTACCGACATTACATTCGATTCACCGTTTCAACTTCTCATACGTCTGTCAGACGCGCTCCAAACTCTTAACGTGCGCGCAATCCTCACCTGGCGATAATAACTTTGAAAGAAGGCACGTCTAAGTCGCGATACGTCGCCTGCGTACACTTGCAAGAAAAACGAACAAACGACTAATGCCAAAAGAAAAAAGAAAAAAAGAAAAAAAAGCCTCACGTTTTTTATCCACGCGAGGATGTTTCAAACCAAATTTCATCGAGAAGGTTTTATATATATATATATATA